CTCAATTTGGACGAGTAGAACGAAAGTTATGACCACGAAATAAATATGGGTAGAATTGAGTTTTTTGGGTTATGGTGAAGAAAGGATAACAGGTGAATGTAAAAGATCGAAGGAAAGAATCACTCTTTCCAAGGGAGGTAACTCACAAAGCATGTGAAAGTCCTTTGATACAACCAAGGGTTTTTGAATCACTCAAGAAATTAGGAGAATCACTCTCACTAAGATAAAAGAGCTAAACTCTAATATTTCTGAATAAACCTCAACTTGTATTTTTGATAAAAATGGTTCAGCTTATATAGAAGCTTTTGTCATCAGAGTTACAAAGACTCAATAAAGGAAAAATAAATCCTAATAATGATCCATTAATTTTGGAATTGAAAACTACTTAATGGAGACAAATAAATGCTAATAATGATCCATTAACCTAGGAATTGAAAACTATACTTAATGGTTGATTGTAACTGAAATTGTGGCAATCAACTATCCACACTCTTGGTCTTCCAAAGGCTGATACCTAAGTTTCCAATTGGGCCCTTATTACAACTTTAAACAAAACCAAAGTAAATCACATTAATTGATTAACCCAAAACATAATTTGGTTAGCTAATTTTACAAAGGATTGGGTCATTCTTTAAACAAACTTAAAAACTGAAATAAAGTTACGCATTATTCTTCCTCCATTTGGGCCAGATGCAATTCACAACTTTGGTCTTTTCACCTTGAAATGTGGGCTTGTATTCAAATAATATGGACAACACTTGTTGAAGAGCTTCATTTGTTTCCCTTGCTCTAGCCTTTGTCGTGGGTTCTCCAAGTCGTTCAAGTGGATCCTTGCCCTTGCTCATGGTCATGTCCCCATCAATTTTTAATGTATTAAATAATTGTATAAGCACAATTGTGACTTTTCTCATATTTATCATTTATATACTTATATTGCATCTAAAGGGAGTTTTAAACATGATGTATTTTGATGAAAGACAAAAGGCTTTATGTTCCTTAGCGTTCAATTAGCGAAACTTTTATTAGAAATGCACATGAAGGGGGTTTGATGGGACACTTTGGTGTCCAAAAGACACATGACATCTTGCATGGGCTTTTTTACTAGCCTCGTATGAAACATACATTTTGTGAAAAGTTTATTGCTTGCAAGAAAGTTAAATCTAAGGTCATGCCACATGGTTTGTATACTCCATTGTCTATCTAGAACATCCTTGGATTGATATTTCTACAAAATTTGTTTTAGGTTTACCTCGATCTAAAGGAGGAAAGGATTCAATTTTGTGGTAGTTGACAAGTTTTTTAAAATGGCTCATTTCATATCTTGCAGGAAAGTAGATGATACTTGTCGTGTTGTTGATATGTTCTTCAAGGAGGTGGTAAGATTACAAGGGTTGCATAGGAGTATTGTAAGTGATCGAGATTCTAAATTTCATAGTCACTTTTGGTGAACTTTGTGGGGTAAGATTGATATTAAACTATTGTTTTCAAGAACTTGTCATCCTTAGATTGATGGGAAAACTGAAGTGGTTAATATAACTCTTTCTACTCTTCTTAGAGCTATCATTAAGAAAAATATTAGAACTTGGGAAGAGTGTTTACCATATGTTGAAGTTGCATACAATAGGATTGTGCATGGTACAACTCAATTGTCACCATTTGAAATAGTTTATGGTTTCAATCTTTTAACTCCTTTTGGATTTGTTGCCTTTACCTAACAATTTTTAATTTAAAGATAAGTCTAGGGAAATTAAAGTAAAATATGTGAAGAAGTTGCATGAGAAAGTCTATGCTCTATTTCAAAGAAAACTGAAGGTTATGCAAAATATGTATACAAAGGAAGTCATGCCAAGAGGGGACAATCCTTTTCAAGGTAACATTTGAACCAGATGATTGGGTATGAGTGCATTTTAGGAAAGGGTTGTTTCCTTCAAAAGGAAATCAAAGCTAAATGATAATGCCTACAATATTATTTGTCTTGTGAATATAATGTAAGTAATACTTTTAATAATAAGACAATGAGGGTATGGGTGATTTTAGGAAGGAGATGTTTCCTTCACAAAGGAAATCAAATTTAAATATTGCTAGTTTGGACTGGAATAATAGACCTCATTATTAGACTTGGTATTTTTATGTGTTTAGTTTTAAACTTGGGTTAAGATGATTTATTTGGTAAAAATATATAGAATATTTATAATAATGATAAGCATGATTTTAACGCTAAATGTCAAGTTTAACTATGTCTCACTTCACCATTAAGGCATGTTCCATATGCTTAAATTATTAGGATTTTAATTTTCTCTTATTTGATTCCAGATGCATAAAAACTAGTTGTATTTATAATTTGGAAATAAAACGAAAAAGGTAGAATGTTACTTTATTTTTTCTGGAGTGTGAGATAAATGTTTTACTAAGGTTCTTGCTTGAACCATCAATCTTATCAAGAATTTCCTAGTTCTTGTGGCGATCAAACTAGCTTATCAAACTTTTCAGGGAGCCTTTGTTGTCATAATCTTATCGTCGTAAGTTTTATAATTCTTGTTCCCAAATTTTGAAATTAGGTAATTTTATTATTTGTATTCTGTTTTTGTTTAAATTAGGTCATACTTATATCTTTCAAATACTAGGTCGTTTTTTATGCTTAATATGCTTAAATTGCAATTGAGAACGTCATTATTTATCTTATGTTGGTAACACTCAATTTCGAGGTCTGTAACATTAGATATAACTATGGGGTCAAAATAAAGTGTTTTAGGTTTTTGGTATATTTTTACCCTTGATAGATCTATTATCCATTCTAGTAGGGAAGCTCTCATCACCTAACAACAAAGATATTGTCACTATTATAAATGAGAGTGACACACCACTTTCTAATATATTTGGATCAATTGATTACAACATTGAGAATTGTTGTCTAGTTGCATGAAAAGGTAAATCTTGTCAAGGTGATCCTACTAACCCGACAATCATTCTCGAAGTAGAGATATCACAATGTGAATTTGACATACATTTTTTAATATAGTAGGGTTAAATAATGATATTATTGTTAAATTCATCTAATGTGTTTAATGAAGTTATGTTAGGTTTTCCACCACAAATTCCACTACGATGTGAATGGAACACAACATGATATAGGATATTACTTAGCAAATGATATTTATCTAGATTTTGCTACATTTGTGAAAATTATTTCAATGTCACAAGGAGAAAAGAGAAAATTATTTGCTTAACAATAAAAGTTAGTTAAAAAGGATATGGAACATACATTTGGAGTCCTCAAATCTTGATTCACAATAATATGTGGTCCAACACGGTTTTAGGATGCTTATGCATTAAAGGATGAAATTTATGCATGTATCATATTGCACAAAATTATTGTTGAGGATAAATAATAACTTATGAAAATCATATTGATTATTTTATAAGAGAAAATGACATGTTGACTATTGATGTATCTCAAGGTCCTCATCCCAGTTTCAGATTTACATGCATTAAAAAAAGAACCGTTCAAGATAATAGTACTTATCATCAACTTTAGGCATATTTGATTGAACATATTTGATAAAATTTAAGAATAAAGAATGATGAAAATTAAGTTTATGTAGTATATTTTTCAATGTTATTTGATATTGTAATTTTAATTAAAAATTATGTATTTTATATTATTTTTAAATTAAAATATGATTGTATATTATTAAATAAAGTAAATAATTTTACATAGAAAATTTAATTAATTATTCAAAATTAATTAATGAAAATATTAATTTAATTTTCATACAAAATATTAATTAATTAAATTTTAATTAATAAATATTATAATGTATAAATCTAAATAAAAACTATATAAAAAGGGAAAACGCTTTGTATATTTTCTAGATCCCAAAAGAGATTACTCATGTTCTCCCAATAACTAAAAAATATATATTATGCCTCAATTTAGCTAGGGTTCACGACGGTGGAGGAACTGGATAGGAAAAAAATTGTGATTCTAGTTGTGAGATATTTAATGAAACCATAGGTGGAAATGAAATCTCATTCAAAAAGAAAGATATCAAATATTTGAAGTTTCATGCTCAATATTATTTGATTGAATAATTGATCCAATCCTTTGTTGTTTGAAGAAACCTTCCATTTCCTTTAGTATTTTTTCAAAAAAAGCAAACATGAGATAATAAATCTAGTCCTTCAATAGAATGAAACTATATCTCATAGAATCATATGAAGATTTGATAATAAATTTCATAATTGCTAAAAAAACCTATCTTTTTTTCCCAATCACACATTGGTTAACCAAATCCAATTTTCTTTTGACATGTTCTTAAAAAGAATTGATTCATGCGGACTCTTCCCCTAACTAACAAAGAGATCTTGATGCAATTGCCACATATAAAATTGAGCATAATTTTGTAATGGGTAAAATCTCCCTGTGTTTCAGGACCCCACAATAACAACAAAAGAGTGTGTTAAACTATTAGGAAGAGTAGAATCTGCAACAATTAAGAAGTTGTAACCTTCTAAATAGGAACTTTTCAATCCATAAGTATAGCATAAAATTACGAAAACCAACTCCCAAGACGAAATATGTGCAAGGAAAGAATATAGATAATTATTATCATTATTATTATTATTATTATTTCTAATTAAACAACATGTTTATACACGTACAAGGTCAATAAAATTATTTTTGTCAATATAAAAATGCTTGAAATCACCTCCTTTCCCTCTCATCACTCTTCCCAATCTCCGAGTAGACCAGAAGAATTTGGATGAAGTTAGGTTCTGTTGTCCTCATGAAATATGAACCAATTTATTTTTTATTTTTTTAAACAAGCTTTTCCTTTTCTCTCTCACTAGAGCTATCTTTCAATATTGGGATTTTCCTTCAATATTTTGTACTTCAGATGTATACAATTAACATTCGAAAAAATTACATTTTTTTAGCTTTCTGATTTCTAGTGTATAGAATTTACAATTTCAAACATTTGATGTTAATGGGAGCAACTTTACATCCTTGTAACCATTTTGGTCAACTTTTGGGGACCTATAAGTGCTCTTCCATAAGCAGCTGGCAGTGACAAGAGCTTCTTAACTTTTCCTACATAAGCTCTTTTAGTGAAGTTATTGTAGTCATTAGCCTCAATAGAATCCAAGATTTGCCTATACAACAACAAAGATGCCCATACTGGCCATCTGCTTGCAGAGTTCAGCTCTGAAACTCCCTTCTCTGCCTCATCAAAAAACATCCTCGCTCTTTGTATTTGTCCCTTCATGAAATTGCGCCACTTGTCTGTAACTTTCCCTATGAAAATGTCATCATCTGATAGGCCAGCTTGTGCTAGTTCATCTTGTGGAAGATATATTCTACCTCTTCTTGCACTATAATCATCAAGAACAAGAAATAGTTATTAGTTAGCTAACATGATTTTGTTGAACTGTAGAATTTAACTTATTTTTATGTTGATTGTTAATGTCGTTTCTTGGAATTGTGGTTTTCATGTATGAATATCAGTGATACTTAAACTTAAAGGTGTAATTCTAGCTTCTCTAATAGATTCACATACAAGATATTGTTGTATTGAAAGATTCTTACTCTTCTCCAACGTCTCTGAGAATGTTGGTAAGTTGATTCGCAATGCCAAGTGCCAATGCAGCATTGTAGACGCTCTCTGTTGAAGCCTTTGATTCTGGTGCTATCCCCATTACTGGAACACTCATAAGGCCCACTGTCCCTGCTACATAGTAGCAGTAAAGGTAGAGTTCATCAAAGTTATTGTATCTTGACTTTCTCAGGTCCAGCCTCATCCCTTCAATCATGTCCTTAAAGGGCTACTCAGACAGACCAATTCATTGCAAATTGGATTAGTTTTAGCACATAAAAATATCTAGTACTGCTATTGTTGGTAAATGCTAAGTAATTTATACATAATTTAGCATTAGATTCTCTATATTATACAATTCAAAACTAATCTTGTGGAACACAAGCTCCTTATTCATTTACTTTGAACAAGTCAGAGCAATTCAACAGCAGCTGAATTCCATTAACTTTCTTTAAAGCAGCCTGTAATTTAAGACAATTGGCACGCTTATAATTGGTTTTTTGTTTTAAGCTTTCTTGGAAAGCTGTAAAGAGGAAAAAAGGAATAATTTTTTCCCTAAGTAAGTTAAGAAAGTACATTATCATCACTTTTTATGCCCTTGAACACCCCCATTTTCCTTGTTCTTGAATTTGGGTTGGGCTAACTCTACCTCAAAAGGTTGCCCACCACAACTCTTTCACATATGGACATCTTTAGAAAAGTTGGAAAACGGTAGATTTTTGAACATTTAAGAATGGCTCAATATTAGATCAAAGACAAACTTTGACACCATCTTAAATTTCATCTGGGCTAAACTGAACTGTAAAAACTAGTTCATTATTGTCAAAGTCTATTATGGTCATATGTGTAGTAGATGTGAGATGTAAACACATATTGACTGGTTTGAATTCTGATGTAAATAAGATTTTTTTTCCCTACAAACTATGAAAGGTAAAAGGTTCAATTTCAGAGTCCAGTTTTAGGGGTTGTGTTGTGGTCTACCTGTATATCAACTGGGTACTTTGAGACTGTATCTGAGAGGGCAGCATCATACATATCATAAGGGCGTCGTTGAAAAACATCACATAATCTTTTCTCCCACCTGTCCAGGGCCTTTGGTGTAATGTGAGAAGCATTAGGGCCATCCACTAGCTCATCTGTTCTTCTACACCACACTGCAATGCAAAAAGTGTAGTCAATTTCAATGCATTAAAATAAATGAAAATGGACCACAAGCCTCATTGGATAAGCTTTTGAAGCATGCCAATTAGGATAAGCACACATACCATATATGGCCCAGATGGCTTTTCTGCGCTCTTGGGTCATCAATTGTGTGCCTGGGATTTGCAGTTCACAGTGAACCAATCAAATTCACGACAACAACAACAACATATACTAAGAAACATTGAATAGATAAACAAAGGAGAGTCACTAAAATTTGAAATCATTGAATGGACTTTTGATTCTCACCGCCTTGGGAATAAAGAAATCATTTCAATTATAGTAAACATTTTGCGGCAAAGTGAAGGCACTATTTAGGCCTAGTAAAATGGGAAAAAGTAAATAAAAGAGACTACTCTATCATCCCAAGTTAATAATCATCTAGAATCAACCAAGAAGGGAGTGAAAGTGCAGAATTTGAACAATGAAGGGATTATTTTTTCAGAACAGTTAGCCAATGACTAAAGTTTCTTAATGTAACTGATATAGAAATGAAATTTAAAAAATGAACAGCTCATTAGTAAAGGGTTAATGATTATGAAAAACAAGAAAAGTTCAAAACAAGATATATACATAGAGAGAGTACCTAGATAAAATGTCTTGGCATATTCAGCACAGACTTCACCACACCTATCATAAGCAGCACTCAACAGATCCCCATTGGTTAAATCACCTTCAATTGGTTTGTCCAAATTCAGAGCTCTCTTTGTAGCCTTATTTTGCTCCTTGACCAGTGCTGCTTGCTTCAACACCACTTCATAGACCCTCTCTTCTGAAGATCTTGAAGGGTCTGCCACTGCAGGTGAAAAGCTTGCAAAACTGATCCCATTGCACAGTCCAAACCTCCTCTGGCTCTTACCACCTCTCCCGGCAAAACCAACAATAGAGATGGGGTTCTCCTTGGGTCCACGACTCACCCAAAGAAGAACACCAGACATCTCAGGCACTATGCAATTTCCTCCTACTTCTTGTGCTGCACCTATGAATGATGAAGTGCACACCGGAACAAAAAAAGAGAGGGAGAAAACTAGAAAATTTGAGTAGTTGTAAGTAGCTTTGAGGATCCTCTTGTGTTGGGAAAAATGGTTGGTTTTGTGAGGCTTTTACAAGTTTTAGGACCAACCCAATTATGGTGAGTGTGAGGATAGGGAGAGAAATGTGATTGGAAGGCTAAATGTAAAGGCAATCTCTTGTTGAGGAATATGCTCAGTTGTAACCTTAGCTGACACATGTAAATGTATCGACGGTGGTATTGTAATCTTGAACTTCAACAAGTTGTTTGTCTTTTAATGCAAGACTATTCCTTCTCACTCTGATTCCCCTCACACACTCTCTCTCTCTCTCTCTCTGCCCTTTTTAGCGGTTGTGAATTTGTGGTCCAAAGTTTTGTTTGTATACTTGCATGTGGGTTAAAAATGTGGTTGAGAATGACTTGTTTATATCAACATTCAACAGTGGCACTAACATGGTTTTGCATGAGTTCATGATTCACAAAAATAACTTGTTTTTAAATCATATAATCCGAGATCAGAGTATGTGCATATAAAAGGAGCAGAGTTTCATACATAAATTTCACTATCTTAAATAATCAATCCCTACCTAATACTTTGGATTAAAAAATTGAAACGTAATCAATGTGGAGTTGTAAACTTTGATTTGTGTAATTTTCATGTCTACTCAACTGAAAAGATACTCTATGTAATTGTACTTGGACAGTCAAATTTTCATTAATATTATTATTTCCATGAACAATTCTGGCGTCCATAAGTATATTTTAATTTAGTTTTCACATCAATCAAGATTAGGGTCTGTCTCGATGAATAATTTAATTAAATGATCATTTGAGTAAAGCTTATATCGTGAGAGTTTATATGGGTCAATTCACTAGGCTTTAAGTTGACAAACTTTCCCCTAATAATTTTTAAAATAAGTTAAAAGGTCATAAATCACTCTCATAATTTCAATTGAACAGTGTTAATGTTAATTTTAAATAACATCTATGATAAGACTAATCATAATACATTGTAGAAAAAATGGGATAAAAGTTAGTGAAATTGGGGTTTAATGGATCAACCCACTTTTATTATTTATTATATTTTACTTATATTAACTTTTAGTATAACTTGTAACAATAATAATAATGATTTTTATTATTATTTTAATTTTTTAATAAGAAATTTGTTATTAATAATTAACTTATTTTATATTTAATATATAATAATATTAGTAAAAATATAAATATATATTATTTTAATCATGTATCGATCAATTTAGTGATGACGCAATTTTTGGCTTAATGTAGTGAAGATTAAGAACATCAACAAATGCCTCGTTAACCACCTACCTAACCTTATTAAATGCTTATTATTTTGATAATCTTGTAGGAAACAATAATGAATTTCTGAAATAATATAAGAGAAGCTTCAGTCCAATGTGCGTGAAATTTTTTTATTACTTAGAAGGAACATATACAGTTTTGCATCGATGAGAGATTCTCTTAAATTTATAAATATTGTTACGAAAAAAAATGGCAGCATCAAGCATATGCATATGATTAAGATTTTAATAAAATATTATATATATATATATATATACATATATATATATATATATATATATATATATATATATATATAAAATAAGAAATTTCATGTTGACTAAAGATAAGATAATACAATAATATATAAGTGAGTGTAATTTTCACCTTACATAACCAATTTTGTAAGATTAACTTAAAGATTTTATAGTTTCTAAAATGGTATTCTGGCAGGGATAATTATTTAGATTGAGTCCTTTGAAACCTCCAAATGAAGGAAAAGAAATTTGATACATATAGGATGAAATTAGTTCTTTCTATTACTCAAACTCAAGAAGTTTTCAATATTATTTTAAAATCATATTACAATGACAAGAACGAGACATAAATGTCAAGAGTTGAGAAAAGGAGGTATTCATGGACAAACAAAATAAAAAGATATTTACATTAGAAGTAACTATGAATAATCTTAATAAGATTATTAATACGTTTAATGATATATAGATTATTGATATTTGATCTTAGTAAGGTCAACAAATTAAATCATCTACACAAAAATATGTTTGTACTGTAAATGAAAATAAAGTCCAAATTATTTGGAAGATCTTTAAATCTTACTAGTACTTTAAATATTAATTTTGTCTTTATTGTTTCTTCTTTAAATTTTAATCTTTTATTTGCTCTTCAAATAACAATTGATTTATCTTATATGGTAATTTTTTTATCCCGATTCTTTTGTTCTTAAAGAGATCAAAACAAAATAATCAATTGGTTATAGTATTTATAAGAAGAAAATTATATTACCCAGATCTTTCAAAAAAATCTCATGAGCCACAACAAGCATTAATTATTGATAACTCTAAGGGAGAAAATAAAATATCCGAAATATGGTTGTGGCATCATCACCTTGGTCATGCCTATTAAAAAACAAATATTTCCTACTTTATTTAAAAAATATGATGTTTCTAGTTTTAATTATGATGTTTGTAAACTAGCAAAAATTCATAGAACATCATTTCTATTAATTTTAAATAAGACTCAGTTTTGTAAGGTTGAGTTAAGTATCTTACTATTTCTAAAATGGTATCAAAGCCAACTTTAGATATGTTGAGACATTAATAATTAACCTGGTATACTAAACCACCTTTTCTTGAACCAATATTGAACCATTCATCCTTTGTATAAGGGAGTGTGATGAAAAATTCTTTTTGATATAAGGAGGTATGATAAGAAATTATCCTTGATGTGAAGGTGTGTGTTGAAAAATCTCATATCAACTAGAGATATGATAACATAATAGTATATAAGTGAGTATAATCCTCACCTTACAAAGCCAATTTCATAAGGTTGAATTAACTATATATAAGAATATATATATTCCAATACGTTGATAATTCTAATATAGGTTAGATTCAAGTTCATCACTAGTGCAAAAAGGGGCTTTTACGTCACCAAATTATCGTCGCATGTAAAAATATTCGACGTAAATAAAATGTGGTGGCAATTTTGTAAATAAGAGACAAAACTTTTACGTCGCACCTACGTGGCGCGATGTAAAAGAGACTTTTTACGTCGCGCCACGTAGGTGCGACGTAAAAGAGGCTTTTTACGTCACATGTTGGGGTGCGCGACGTAAAAAGTCTCTTTTATTTCCCTCCGAACCCACTCCCTGGTCTCGTGCAACAAGGGTTTTTGAGAACGACGACAACAGCTACCTCTGCACACCATTTTCGATCAGTTTGACAGTGAAAAACATCACCATTGTGTGTCATTTGATGAACTTGATATTTCTCCCCGATTGGATTCGAGTTTGAAATCATTTTTCGTCTACACTCGAGGTTAGTGTTCTATGTCATTGCTATATGTTTAAATTGAATCCGTGATTGTTTTTGGGGATCTCAATCACGTTATTGTATGAATGTCTCCACTAGATTGTTATTGGAATGTAATTATTTGTTTGAGTGCATTTTCGGTTTACACACTCCATTTGCGTGCTTTGTTGTTTGTATATTAATTTCTTTTTACATATAATTTTTAAATCTCTAGGAGTGACGAAACTTTATAACATAATATGAATCGAAGTTGGATGAATGCACGTCGTATTAGTGAAGAGTACGAAAAGGGAGTTGAGGAATTTTTGAAATTTGATAGTGAAAATGGAAAAGTTATGAAAGGGACATATTATTGTCCATGTGTTCGTTGTTTGAATCAAATTCGTCATAAACTTGAGGATATACGTGATCACTTGTTTGTTTATGGTATTATTAAGAGTTATACAATATGGACATGGCATGGAGAAATATTAGACATCCCAACTGTGTCAACTACAGACAATTTTGATGAAGGGATGGATGATAATCTAGAGGATATGATACGTGATATTGGTGAAGAAAATTTTATGAAAGCACGTCTATATGATTCTTTGAAATCTGATTTTGCGCAACAATTGTACATAGGATGTAGTTTTACAAGATTATCAACAACTTTAAAATTGTTTACTTTAAAAGCAAGAAATGGATGGACTGATAAAAGTTTCACCGAATTATTGGAGTTGTTGAAGGAGATGCTTCCTGAAGATAATACATTACCTATTCGTAACTATGAGGCAAAGAAAATATTATGTCCAATGGGTTTAGAGTACAAGAAGATACATGCATGTCCTAATGATTGTATATTGTACAGAAACGATTTTTCTAAATTAAAGATGTGTCCGACATGTGGTTTATCGAGGTTCAAAAACAAAGTTGAGGAAAGTAGTGGTGAGGAAGAACTAGATGGTCCCCCTGCTAAGGTGTTATGGTATTTGCCAATTATACCTAGGTTTAAAAGATTATTTGCCATAAAAGAAGATGCAAGAAACTTGACATGGCATGCAAATGGTAGAAAATGTGACAATCTTCTTCGACATCCAGCTGATTCTCCACAATGGAAAAGGATTGATGAAACCTTTCCAGAATTTGGTGCAGAGCCAAGAAAATTGAGAATTGGATTAGCTACAGATGGGATGAATCCTTATGGAAATTTAAGTAGTAAACATAGTTCATGGCCAGTTTTGTTGATCATTTACAATTTGCCTCCTTGGTTATGCATGAAGAGAAAATATATGATGTTATCTATGATGATTTCAGGACCTCGAAAACCAGGAAATGACATAGATGTATATCTTAGTCCTTTAATTGATGATTTAAAGATGTTGTGGGAAACAGGAGTGGATGTATTTGATTCATATCACGAAGTGAATTTCAGGTTGCGTGCAATGTTATTTTGTACTATAAATGATTTTCCAGCATATGGTAATTTGAGTGGTTATTGTGTGAAAGGTCATTTAGCGTGTCCTTTATGTCAAGAAGACACAAGTTATATCCAATTGAAACATGGACAAAAAACTGCGTACAATAGGCA